TCTTGTCACGTGGATCGTTAGTGTTTATATACATTTTTATAAATTATCTATGTAAATGTCTTTCAGAAAGCATAAATATCTCTCAATATACCTCAGAAACAAAGATGTCTCCATCAAGTTTATACTCACATCACGTGCTATGCTCTTCAATACCTCTATCAAAAAATGTGCAGAGTTTTTTCAGTGCCTTCTGCACGGAAGAGAATATTGAACAAAGTATCTCCTATCTTGATCAGGTAACATCCTTTTTTTAATGTAAGAAGCAGTTGTATAAACCATGTTTATAATGGGACATACTGTAGTTATAAGAAAGTGTGTCAAGCTTAGTAAGCAGGCAGTGCCCAGGTTACAAATGCGATTTGTTCCTAATGGTTTCTTTAAGAATTTGTGGGTAAATTGGAACCAGGTGCATATGGTTCTTATTTAACCTTACTTTAATGCATGACGAGCCCTGGTAGTGTAGTGGATTGGTACCGGGCTGCGGTCCTCATGGTTGGTAGTTTGAAACTGCCAGCTGCTCTTCGGGAGAAAGACTGGACTTTCTACTCCCATAAACAGTTAGAGTCTCAGAAACCCACAGGGGCTTCCTTGATTTTAGTGCATTGGTTCCCAAACTTATTTGGCCTACCACTACCTTTTCAGGAAAAAAGTTACTCAGCCTTCCGTCCCGAATCCCCTCCCTCCCCGGCAATGAAAAACGTTTGTATTGTATAGCCCATAATCCAGGATCAAGTGTAGGTATCTGCCTTGCAGCCCTCTTAGATCATTCCAGTGCCCCAGGAGGTGGTATCACCCACCTCAATAAATACTACATTAACGCAAGGGAATGCCCACCATGTTTTCAGCGATTTAAAAGCTGTACATGTAGCAAGTGAAGGTGGTTATGGTGAATTTGTTGTGAAGTGGGATTGGTTCATTTGGTTCAAAGTGAGGGCAAATTTGCATAACATTCAAGGACAAACAGGAGTTCTTTATAAGTCTCATTCACTCATTTACTTACTGCCATTAAATCTTTATGGGAACAGACAGCCTCATCTGTCTCCCACAGAACATCTCATAAGTTTGAACTTGGTGTGTCTTGTCCTAGCGTCTCCTTCTCTGAGAGTCCGACCCTCATTTCACTGAGGTAGAAACCGAAGTTCCTTGCTCTGTCCCTGTAATGGTTTGGTCCTTGTACACCAGGATAAACTGGCCGGTTCCCATACTTCTTCGTCCTTTAGAATAAAACTATCTTCTTAATAATCTCAGTAGTTTCTGTTTTTTGTTCATTAACCAACTTCTGGGAAAAACATTTTCTCCTACCAGGAATTGACTGCTTTCGGCTTTCCTTCATTGTATGAAGAATCGAAAGACAGAGATGCCAAGAGAGAGTTAAATATAGTCGCTGCTTTAAATTGTATGAACGAACTACTTGTACTTCAACGGAAGAACCTTCTAGCTCAGGAAAATGTGGAAACACAGAATCTGAAACTGGGAAGTGATATGGATCATCTGCAGAGCTGCTATGCAAAACTTAAGGTGCACGGTGCATACAGATCTGCATTGGAAAACCATTATGTCATTCGATGCTGTAAAATTTTCAGGGACTTCCAACAGATTTTAGACATTTTTAAAAAAGTTTCTAGGCTTTTAAAAAGTTGATAAATAAAAGTCAAGATAAAGTAATTGGCATAAATCAGTTGTGTATTGTGCTTCCTGATATCTGTATTGAAGATAGTGATCTTACAGACTATTTAGTGACTTGCTCGTAGAAGGTTAGGCTCGGAGGTATTTATGTCTTAGGTAAATAAGAATCGTCCCTCTCCACTCAGCAAGGTAGATGCTTAACTTAAGACCGTTCTCGTTGAGGTAATTCCAAGAAGATCATTCTTACACTCATGTGTGCTTCAGTGATGGAGGTGCTCCAGATAACTTTTACAAGGTCCCACAGAGTAGACCAGGCACCCAGGAGCCCCTCAATATGCTCGTTTTTCTGAATAAGAGAACAGAGCCCTAACTTCCTTCACATATAAAACATTCAGTCTGCTGCTTGGTTGACTACTCATACTTTCTTTATTATTCTATTTATTTACTGGAGAAAGATGGAGAGGGCAGCCCTCAGATTTATAACCTAATGCACCGCCATCGAGCTGAATTCTGCCTTTGAATGAACCCCGGACAGGGGTTTCGCTGTGCGTTGGAATTGACTCGATGGTGACTAGTCATGTCATAAACTTTATTTTTAGATAACACAGCTAACACATTTAACTCATTATGAATTCATTGTTTGGCTGTCTGTGTTAATTTTCATCAGAGTTGCTTTTGAATGCTTTAGGAACAACTGGAATCCTCCAGGAGAGAAATGATTGGACTTCAGGAAAGAGACAGACAGCTACAGTGCAAGAACAGGAATTTACACCAGCTGCTTAAAAATGAGAAGGATGAGGTGAGTGGTCAGTAATTATAGAGTTAAGTTTGATTGGATTTTGGAGGGTGGGGGTAATCTGAGATGAAGTGAAGAGCGACTTCACTTTTAAACATGTATTCGTTCTGCATCGAGTTGGTATGGTGCACAGTATCTACATTATTATCTGTAACAGAGGTCAGGTGCCCTCTCAGCATGCAGCTTAGCATGTTCGTTCATAGTTCTCAACCCGTCTCCTGTACTGTCCACCCAGACTCGCACTCCGTCACAGAGGTAATTCAAATGCAGACTCTCTATGCTCTGCCATACTTGTGCATGATAATAGGCATAATCCTTCTCTTGCTATCTTAAATATGGACAGTCCTTCTAATCAATCAGTATGTGACCCCCACTCCAAGTATGTGTCAACTTGACTACTGAGTCATGATTCTCACTTGGCAGTTTTGTAATGATGTGGTCAGTCCCCCATGCTGCGATCTCTGAGTCAGCATTGACCCATAGCAGTGAGTTTGGATTTTTGTGTATATGGGTAGGTAAATATTAGGGCTTCTTTTGGATGTTGAATTGGTAAACTTTTATTTGAGTCTATTGACCCTTCAAGGGGGCTCATTTAACAGACAATGTTTTTTCAGGTGCAAAAATTACAAAATATTATTGCAAGCCGAGCTACACAGTACAATCATGATATGAAGAGAAAAGAACGTGAATATAATAAATTAAAGGAACGTCTACATCAACTTGTTATGAACAAAAAAGATAGAAAAATAGGTAAGGAGCAGCTGGCCAAGCTGTGGTGATAAATGGCTAATGGGTGCTGAGCAATGTCGTCTGATAACTCATGAGTGACATTTTCATGCTTCGTACAAATTGCAGACACTGTATGTTCATATGAATAAGATATTAAGATAGCTAATGAAAAATAAGTGATTTTGCTTTGCTTCATGAGTTTCACAGAAAGATTAAACTTCATAATGCACACTTTTTCAACAAAGCACTTATAGGATTAATCCACAGAGAAAACTAAGATCTCTCAATGCTAAAATTAGTATTCAAAATCAGGATCCATTTCTGAGTAACAAAAGAAGTATGGTTTTGGAGAGTTAACTTCCTAAAATTGTCTTTACGAGGGGGGGTAACCCCCAAAAACCCAGAAATTTTTTTCAAAGCTATGTATTTAAATTTATTTACAAAACAACCTTATCACCTTCAACATAATCTCCATTACACTTCATACATTTGTCAAATCTGTGATTCCATTCTTGGAAACATTTTTCAAACTCATCTGCTTGAATGGCTGACAGCACCTTCCTTGTATTTTTCTTCACCTCTTTTGTGTTGTGAAATCTTTCATATCCCTCTTCATTTATGGAAACAAAAAAGTTGCATGGAGCGAGGTCAGGTGAGTCAGGTGCGTGGGGCAAGAGAGGCATGCTGTTTTTTGCCCCAAACTTGCACACTGAAGTGGCTGTGTGAGCAGGTGCGTTGTTGTGGCAAAACCAGCCCCCCATCTGCCACAGATCTGGCCTTTTTGGTCACACAGTGTTAAGTAGTCTTTTCAGAACCGCTAAATAGAAAGCTTTAGGAGTTGACGTTTTCATCCATTTGGACGTCCAGAGCAAGGGTTGTCATCAGTTAACGTTTCATCTTTTTTGAGATGAGAAAGCCACTTGATTTTTTCCCATAACGCTGTCCTTGTAGGCTGTGTTCAACATCACAACAGTTTCTGCAGTATATTTCCCCAAGCAGGAAACAAAATTTCACAGTCCTCTTAAATTGGCCATCACAAAAAAACGAGTTCGAACGAAATTGCTTTTACAAAAAAATATACTGTGACCAAAGAGAACTTCCCCAGGCGGCACCAGTGGGTACACTAACTCAGAGCGAGTGGCTAGATGTTCTCCTAGCGGGAAAAGAAATGCATGTTATGAATGCTTCGCTCTGCCCTGTGCAGTTCCATTTGTTGTTTTTGTTTTTTGGGGGGTGAGGGCTAACACCCTTGTATAATGCCCAAATCATTGATGTCAGTTTGAGTTCCTTTAAGTGAGTTTAGTGTGAATATTTGAACCAGCTAGTTTACAAGGGTGGACTATAAAGTTCTTAGGTTGATAATGTGTGTGTCTAAAGTGTGCTTTTTTTGTAATGTCGCCCGTTTGACATTTACACCTGTGTTCTCTAAGTAAATGTTTGCATAATTTCAAGGAAATGTCATTGGATGCCATGCAGTCGGCTCTGACCCATGACCCCGTGCACAACAGACCAAAACACTGCATGGTCTGGTGCCATCCTCACAATTGTTCCTGTGCCTGAGCCCATTGTCACAGCCCCTCTGTCACTCCATCTCGTTGAAGGCCTTCCATCTTACCAAATGTGATGTCCTTCTCCAGGGACTAACCTCTCCTGACAATTTCCAAAGTATGTTGTAATAAGACAAAGTCTTGCCACCCTTGCCTCTAAGGAGCGCTCTGGGCATACTTCCTCCAAAACGGTCTGCCCTTTTAGCAGTCCAAGGTACTTTGAGTATTCTTCCCCAGCACCATAACTCGAAATTCAAATACATCGATCCTTCTACATAGGGTCTAGTACAGATTAAAAAACGTTGTTGTTAGGTGTCCTGTGTGTGTACAACAGAACAAAACCGTGCCCGGCCCTGTACCACCCTCACCATTGTTAGCGTACTTTAGAGCCCGTTGTTGCAGCCACTGTGTCAGTGCATCCTGTTGAGGGTCTTCCTCTTGTTCACCGCCCCCCACTTTACCATGCACGATGTCCTTCTCCAGGGACTGGCCTCTCCTGAGGACATGTCCAAGTACCCGAGACAAAGACTGCATTCTCGCTTCAAAGGAGCATATTGGTAGTACTTCTTCCAGGACAGATTAGTTCGTTCTCTGGCTAACCATGGTACTTTCAGTATTCATTGCCAGCATTCATTCTTCAGCTTGCCTTATTCAGTGTCCATGCATCTGAAGCAATTGAAAATACCATGGCATGGGCGGAATTATGGAGCCAGTGGCTGAATTGATGATTGCCTGGGGGGCATGGAAGGGAAATGAGTCAACATCAATGAGTTCAAGAAGGAAGAAACGGTTACAGAGTTGATTGTGGTGATGATTGCACAGCCCTTCTTGATATGTTGAACTCCTGGATGGTGTGGTGTGTTAATTGCAGCTCAATAAAATTTAAGAAAGAAAATACCATGGCTTGCATTAGGCACACCTTGGTCCTCAAAGTATCATCCATACTCTTCAACACTTTAAAGAGGTCATGTGCAGCAGCATTACCCAGTGCAATGCATCGTTTAATTTCTTTTCTGCTGGTTCCGTGAGCACACTGCAGATCAGAGCAAGACAAGCAAAATCTTTAACGACTTCAATCTTTTCTGGTGCAGTTATGAAGATTTTAATTTTCTTTACATTAGGTTGTATTCCTAATGAGCTCCTTTAAGTGAAGGCTTAAATTCATATAGAAGATTTAAAAGTACAGCTACACAAATAGTTTTGCTGATCTGGTAAAATGCAGAAAAGTCTAGGACTAGGTGACTCCACTGTAAAACGTTTAAAGAATTAACACCAATCCTTCCTTTCAAGCTCTCCTAAAATTAGAAGAGGGAACATTTCCTAACATTGTGTGAGGCCAGCATTACTCTATACTTCAGCCAAATAAAGAAACCACACACACACACACAATTATGGACCAATATCCCTTAAGACTATAGATGCAGAAATCCTTAACAAAATACTAGTGAATAGAGTACTAAAACATGTAAGGAGGATTATGCACCATGACCAAGTGGGGTTTATCCCACGAATGCATGTATGATTAATTATAAGGACAAGCAAAATGTGTAGTATGTTGTATTGATAAAATAAAGGTAAAAAGAAAACATTTGATAACTCACTTGATGCAAAAGCATTTGACAACTGTCACCACCTCTCATGACAGAAACACTCTGCGCACTGAGGCGAGACGGGGCAGTGCCTCATCCTGATAGAAGACATTTATGAAAAGCCCACAGCTGACAGGATCCGCACCAAGACGTGGAAGCCTGCCTTTGCCACTGCTAGTCACCAGTATTCTGGAACATTCAGCCAGAGTAGTTGGGTTAGAAAAAGTAATAAGAGGCCTCCAAATCAAGAAAGAAGTAGTAAAACTGTTTCTATTAGGAAATGTGTGTGATGTAGAAAATCCAGATTCTATACGGAAGCTGCTAGAGCGCGTACATACAGCAAAGCTGCAGAATACAAGGACAGCACACAAAAATTAGTGGTGTTTCTCTGTGCCAGCAATGAGTGATATGAAAATAAAGTAAGTCCATTTTAGTAGCATCTAAAAGAAAAATAACTAAAAATTAGTGTAACAGATAAAAGAAATATATGCTGAAAGATTAGAAAACAGCTGAAAGAAAGTAATGCAGTTAGAAGACAATATTACTAAAGTGTCATTACCCCCAAAGCAATCTGAAGATTCAATGTAATCCATATCAATTCCAATAGCCTTTTAAAAATAATTCTCCATACATGAATGAGCTGACCCTAAAATGCAAGGGTCCCCAAATAACCAAAACATTCTTGAAACAAAACAGAACAAAATAGTCACATACCACCCCCACCCCCCAAAAAAGAGTGTGGTGTAAGTACAAGGATAGACATAAAGACCAGTGGAATAGAAAGAGTCCAGAAATGAGCTCATACAACTGTAGCCAATTGTTTTTCGACAGGTTGCCAAGTTCATTCAGAGGAAGGGGAAGAGAGCAGTCTCTTACAATAATTGGTTTTGGCATAACTGGATCTTCACATGCAAAAGGCATGAAAATCAGTTCGAAAGGAGTCAGGACCTACAATAAGAGAGCTAAAGCCATAAAACCTTTAGAAGAAATCTTACTGCCATCGAGTTGATTGTGACTTCCAATGACCCCTCAGAGCACAGTAGACCTGCTTTACAGGATTCCCCAAACTACAAGTCTTGATGGAAGCAGGCCCGGCATGGCTGGTAGGCTCCAGTAGACCAACTGTTCCGTTCTCAGCTGAGTGCTTCAGTCATGGCATCAGCAGGGCTCCTTAGAAGACATGGGTAAATCTTTCGGGCTTTATATTTAGCAGGGTATTCTTAGATGTGGCACCAAAAGCATGAGCCACAAAAGAAAGGGTAAGCTGACCTGCATCGAAATTAAATGTACTTTGTTTATCAAAGGTCATATCAAAAGAGTAAAAAGACAGCATGGAGGTTGGGAGGACATTAGCAATAGCCATATCTGATACGGACTTCTTCAGAATACATAGAGGACGCGTTCAACTCATTGACTAAACGCCAGCCTAATTTTAAAATGGGCCAAGAACTTGAAGTGGACCTATCACCAAAGAAGATAGACGAATGGCTAGTAAGTTGACGAACCTGGCAAGATGCTCAACATCATTCGTCTATCCTGACTCCCAGTCAGTTCCAACTCACAGCACCCCTGGAGGCGAGAGTGAAACAGGCTGCACGTCCTGAGAGGAGCAGAGAGTGGCTGATGGGCTTGGACTGCCGCTAGTCGTTAGGGCAATGCAAATCAAAACGACTGTTATGTACTACTTCCGACCCGCCAGAATGGCTGGCATTTGAAAACCAACAACAAAGGAACAAGTGATACCCGGATGTGGGGAAATCGGAACCTTATCCCTTGCTGGTGAGCATTTGTATGCTGCAGGCACTGTGGAACACATTGGTGGTTCCCGCAGAATAGTAGACATCTCCTGACCACCTGACCCGGCCGTTTCATGATCAGGCCTCCGTACCCAAAAGAAAATCAATGACGCAAACGGATAATTACACTCCAGTGACCGTTGCAACATTATTCACAATAGCCTTAAGTGGAAACTACCCCATGTGTCTATCAGCAAATGAATGAACAAACAAGGTTAAACTGGAAATTCATTCAGTCAAAAAAAGGAAGTTTTTATATGTGCTTCCACATGGAACCTTGAAAATAAGCTAAATGAAATAAGCCAGCTACAAGCGGATCAATATTGTGTTGTCTGACTTACGTAAGGTATCTGGAATAGGCACGTATTCTAGGAAAGTAGAGACAAAGTAGCTAAGTGGTTGCCATGGGCTAAGGGGAGGGGGAAGCGATGAGGAATTATTGCTCAATGGGCCCAGATTTTCTTTTTGGAGTAATGGAAACATTTAGAAATCATATCAAACCCAAAAGAAGAAGAAGATGCAATAATAAGTAGTTAAGACAAAAGTTAGAAATCTTACTGTTATGAGGATTAGTAACCTTACATTTCATTTGGATACTCAGTGGCTTTTTAGCTTATTGACGAACAGGGGCAATGCTTGAAGTGTAATATGCAGTACGTAATTTAGAAGGATTTATAACGATTGAAGTCGGGCCGTGGAGCCCTGTTCTGTGGAGCCTTGCTGTTTTGTGATCCAGGCCCGTCTGAATATGACAGTTCATAATGATTTTATTTGCTCGAAAATGACCATTTGGTCTCATGGTGTTCCTTTTCAGGACAATGACTTCCGCCTCCACTGGGCTAGTAGGACCATCACTGCTGTCCACACTCGACTCCTTTGATGATCATAAAAGGACTCGACAACATTTTGCTATAAAGGCCCAGACAGTACAGCTTTGTAGGTTCTTGCACTATGGCAGAGATATCTATACATGAAACAGTTACCAAGTATAAGCCAACCCGAATGTCAGCCGAGGCACCTAATTTTACCACAAAAACTGCATTAAAAATGTGCCGAGGGACTCGGCTTAGACACGAGTGTATATGGTATGTACATATTGTTCCTGACTACTTTAGTGAGAGACAAGATAGAAAGAATGGGTGTAAGTGTATGTAGTCCAGTAAAACGATGAAAATCAGGCACAGGGCCATAGTTCACCAGCTAACGTCCATGGAAATAGTGGTCAAGAAATCAAACAGCAAATCTGCAAAAGACCTTCTAAAAGTGCTAAAAAGCAAAGCTATTGCCTTGAGACTTGGGTTGCCCCTACCCAGCCAGGTATTTTCGCTCTTGCTTGTGAAGGCTGGACAGTGCAAAAGGGGGGACCAAAGAAGACCCGGCAGGTTTGAATTGTGGTGTGGATGGAGAGCATTGAATACAACACTCTGTCCGGAGGACGGACTTAGCTGCTGGGAGAAGTGCAGCCCGAGCACGCCTTCGACGTGTGAGCACGGTGAGACTTGGTCTTCCTTGGCTTGGCCATGTCAGCAGGGGGAAGGTTCCAGAATCAGTGGAAAAGCAGGAGGAGCCCCTCAGTGGGCTGGGAAAGCATCGAGACTGCCGCAGCGGGCACACACAGCCAGTGAATGAAGACGGCGCAAGACAGCAGCATTTCATCCTTTTGCAGATGAGGTCGCCATGAATCCATCGCTTCGAGCACTAACAACAATCGTTCCTGAGAGTAATAAGTGCTCTTTATTAGACATTGTGTGCTAGGTACTGTCAAGTGCTGGACATCATTATGCATTCAGTCTCCACAAGTGTTGGATTAATGCTTTCATCTCCATTTTATCAATGAAGAAACCAGACGAGTGGTTAAATTTAACCTGCCACTCAGTGCAGACAAGAGGTAGAACTGAAATTTGAAACGAGGGCTATTTCAGCCTGAATCCCAACCTGTATGCCCGGTTGATTTATGTCTTGAATGTTTAGAGAACATTGCGTTTGAACATGTCCAGGTATGTGGTCAGAGTTAGCTGTGTTTTGTGTGTTTCCATTTGTAGCTATGGACGTTTTAAACTACGTGGGACGAGCTGATGGAAAAAGGGGCTCCTGGAGAACTGGTAAAACTGAAGCCAGGTAAAGTCTAAATAAGTTTAATTGGTCAATTTAATTAGACTTTGTTCTATGTTGCATTTTCATACAGACAGTTTCTTCCTCAGGAATGAAGATGAAATGTATAAAATTCTCTTGAATGATTATGAATACCGTCAGAAACAAATCCTAATGGAAAATGCTGAACTTAAGAAGGTTCTTCAGCAAATGAAAAAGGAAATGATTTCTCTTCTTTCTCCCCAAAAGCAGAAACCTCGAGAAAGAGCCGATGATAGTACAACTGTAAGTGGTTCTTTTCCTCTGACTACCACCGTTTTTGGGTTGCTAGCAGCTACCCGAATTAAACACTGCTCGGGTGTTCTCAGCAGGAACACTGGGCATTCTGAACAGGACGTCCTGGCTTTGCCACTCCCAGTCGTGTGACAATTTGCCTTCAATCTGAGGATTGAATCTGTGCTAAGAATTGTGAGAGGCACTTCAGAAAAATTTTTTTCCCATATGAACTTTATGACTTAGAAACCCTAACCGTCCCCATTTTATAGATGAGGAGACTGAAGCACTGAGTATCTCAGCTGTGAGTTCCGCTCTCCCGGCTAGTTAATGGCAGGGTTACTATCTGGTGCACTCCTGAACTCCTCCTCTCTCTCTCTCTCTTTTTGAACTCCTTCTCTTATCCGCTGTGCTGACTCACCTCTGAGTAAGGCTTAACAGATGGGACTTTCTACTCTGGGCTTAGTCAAGTCTCAGGAACTCACAGGGCAGTTCTAACCTGCCCGTAGGGTCGCTCTGAGTCAGCGTCCACTTGATGGCAGTGCGGCGGTTTTTTACATTCTTTTCGAGATTTTGGTTTTTGATTGGTGCTTAAATGCAGGCTTCCCTTTTCAGATTAGAACTTCCGTTAACGCTGGGACCAAGTAATCATCTAGGCCATATATTTATCGAATGTTCATTATGGTCTTTTACCTGGTGGTAGGGAAGCGAAAAAGATAATTCACCTTTTCCTTTAAGAAGCTCTTTTTGGT